GCTCTATGAGCCAGATTGTTTTCTTGCAGACATTTCATTACCCAACTCGGTAACATCATCAGTGCTAGAAGGGAGTGGGGTTTGCTTTCAGTTTATATACAAGTGGCTTGCACTGTCAGTGTTGGTGGGAATGTTCTTGGTGGTTTCTTGATTAGGCTGTTACTAGCACTGCTGATGTTATCTAGTTGGGTAACAAACCATCCACAAATAGACAACCAAGCTCAGAGACACCAAGGACCTCTCGTACAGTACTAAATTAGTGTCAGATAAGGGTCAATGGAATTCAAGAGGCATTTGTGGAAACGTAACAACTCTAGGCTGATGACTTGCTTAACTCTGCCCCCAGCTCTTCTTGCTCTCCTGCTACAATAATATGAGGTCTGGAACAATTTAAATGATGCTACACCTTGGTTAGATTAACCTCCCTCCCCCAGAATTATGGTTTCAATCCCATAGTTTCTTATCTCCCCTCTCCATTCATTCTTCATTGAAGGTTCTTCAGTACATTTGAGTGAGAATCCTTTATTCTGAATCCATTTGGCACTTTTCCCTTAAAACGTCACTCAAACATTTAGAATGTGACAACAACATCCAAGAAAAAAAAAATGTATATCATAACTTACGATGAGTAATATCTGGAGGGCCATAAGGGTCGGTCATATAGATGGTGGTTGGTTTCCCCACTTTTAAATAGACTACGTCAGATGTATTCTTCAATATTGCTACTGCTTCTTCGTGTGTTACTTCTTCTAAACTGTAATTATTTACCTTAACGAAAGCAGAAAGAAAAGTGCATTCAGCAGGTCTGATGTGGAAACTGAGCCAACATTTGCTCACACGCTAATCAAAAGAAGACAACTTTTTTACTCAAGGAACAGAGTAAATTATGCCAATTCTGTGTGACGAATAAGGTATTTTATTATTCAAATGATAAAAAAATTCAAAGACGCTGAGCTTGTTGATCAGAAAGAGCGGCAGTTTGGTGGTTCGAATCCCTAGCGCTGCGTAACGGAGTGAGCTCCTGTTACTTGTCCCAGCTTCTGCCAACCTAGCAGTTCGAAAGCATGTAAAAATGCAAGTAGAAAAATAGGGACCACTTGGTGGAAAGGTAACAGTGTTCCGTGTGCCTTCAGCATTTAGTCATTCCAGCCACATGACCACTGAGACGTCTTCGGACAGCGCTGGCTCTTCGGCTTTGTAATGGAGATGAGCACCACCCCCTAGAGCCGGAAACTACTAGCACATATGTGTGAGGGGAACCTTTATCTTTACCTTATCATTCAAATGCAGTCTTTCAGATAGCTGGTTAGAGTTATGAATTTTGGACTGGAGAAGCTACGTAGAACTGGATCTATTTAGTAGTAAATGGATGAGGGAACTATTGTGAAATCCAGGAGCTGCAAGTTCGACCGGAATGTAAAAAACTAAAACAAAATAAATTCTTGGAAGAAGATAATGGTGGTGCAGTGGTTAAAATGCCATATTGCAGGCAAACTCTGCCCACAGCCTGGAGTTTGATCCTGATGGGATTTGAGGTTGAGTCAGCCTTCCATCTGTCCTGCCCCTGTCGGAATCTGATTCCGAGGGGGAGGTTGAGCACCTGACAGGGAGTGGGAGTGTGGCTCTGTTGGCTGTGGAAGAAACTGGAGAGGGGCACAGTCTGGCTGGGCAGATCAGGGGAGAGGTAGAGCAAGGCAGAGGGAATTCAGAGGAAGATTCAGGGCCACCCCCTCTTCATCCTAGGGCATGCAGGGAGGAACGGAGAAGGGAGCAACGTGAGTTGCATGTCTTACGGGGAAGGAAAGGCCCTGATTCCCTTCATAAGCTGCAGCTGGGAACACAGTGTTTAAAAAGGGGTGTTTGCCCACAGTAACTTGTTTGAAACAATATTATCTTATTTTGTCAAGGCTTATCTGGGTTCCTGGCGTCTTCCCAACTGTGTATGTTTTGTTGGCCTTTGTAGTCTGCAATTCCTTATCCTGCCCTATCCAGTTAATTGCTGCAGAGTGTGGTTTGTGTGGACTTTTATTTACAGTTTGTACGTACTTTGTTTTTGGACTGAATTTCCTCCACTTAAAAAACTGTTCTTGGGAGAATTTTTTCTCCAGCCGAACGTAACTGGACATTGGGGGCAAAGTTGGCGGTATTAAAGGAACTTTTCTTACTCATGTGACTGCGTTGCCCTTGTGCCAAACCCCGGGTTATCACACCATCCTTCTGAGGTCAGTGAAATGATGATCCAGATTGTTGAGGATAATATGTAAATTACGCTTTTGCATTGTAAACTTCCCAGAGAGTGCTATAAAGCACTATGGGCTGGTATATAAGCCTAAATGCCATTGCTAACGGAAAATCCAATGCCTTGGTAAGACCACACTTGGAAAGCTGCACCCATTTTTTGTTGCCACGATGTATAAAAGGTGTTGAGACTCTCGAAAAAGTGCAGAGAAGAGCAGCAGAGATATTATGGGACTGGAGGCTAAAAGATAGAAAGAACGGTTGCTGGAATTGGGTATATCTACGTTTGGTGAAAAGAAGGACTTCTAATTTCCCAGGGGTTGCCACCAAGAAGTCAGGCTATTCTCCAAAGCACCTCAGAGTAGGTCAAGAAGTAAAGAAGTGCTTATCAAAGGTTATCCAAGAGAGATCTGGCCTAGAATTAAGGAGAAATTTCCTGACAGGGAGAACAATTAATCAGTGGAACAGCTTGCCACCAGAAGTTGTGGATGCTAAATTACCGGAGGTTTTGAAGAAGCGATTGGACAATCATTTGTCTGAAATGGTGTAGGGTTTCCTGCCTGAGCAGGGGGGATGGACTAGAAGACCTCCGAGGTCCCTTCCAACTCTTTTGTTATTTTGTTCTGCACTAACTGTAGATCATAGAGAGGTACAAAGATGCACGGTGAACGAGTAAGAACCCGTGTGTGTGTGTTATGCATTATATTTCATCACGCTATCGATTAAAAAATAAAATAAAATCAATGCCAATTCTCACCATAAGAAGCCTGTCCCCTACTTGCAACCGCCCATCCTTTTGGGCTGCTCCACCATCAATAATTTTTGTGACGTAGATGCTGTTGTCCCCAGGGATGTGCTGGTTTCCTATGCCTCCGGCAATGCTGAATCCCAGACCTCAAGGGAAATGAAAAAGGAGAAGAAACTTTATTTGAGAATACACTTTATCGAAAATGAACTAAGGTTAAGCTCAAAAGCAGTATCTCAGGCTACGTCAGGCCTCCCCAGATCCAAGAAAAAACATTAGTCATTCTTTCAAGGTGAGTTCTTTATTATTCCACCCCCTATGGACAGCATAGGGCCACAGCGGCTCAGTGGCTAAGACGTCGAGCTTGTCGATCAGAAAGGTCGATAGTTCAGCGGTTCAAAGCCCTAGTGCTGCGTAACGGAATGATCTCCCGTTACTTGTTCCTGCCGGCCTAGCAGTTCGAAAGCGTGTAAAAAATGCAAGTAGAAAAATAGGGACCGCTTTGGTGGGAAGGTCACAGCGTTCTGTGCACCTTTGGCGTTTAGGCATGCCGGCCACAGGACCACGGAGATGGCTTTGGACAGCGCTGGCTCTTCAGCTTTATAAGAGAGACGAGCACTGCCCGCTAGAGCCGGAAACAACCAGCACGTATGTGCGAGGGGAACCTTTACCTATAGACAGAATCTTGCTAAAGTCAAGCACTCTACTATCTGCAAGAAGTATGTCCACGTAGTCCTCTGAAGTGGTATGAAGACTTCACGTGATCTTAATTTGCAATCTTCTCAGACAAGCACAGTCAATGGGAGAGACAGGATTTGCTTAACGACCACATGATTCACTTAACAACCATGGCCAAGAAGGTTGCAAAATCGGGCGTGAATCACAACAACCATGGCAAACAAAAAGAAAAAAGGCTGTGAATTTAGGGCATGATTCGCCTAACAACCGCCTCACTTGGCTATGAAAGTGGTGGTCTTATGTATGACCCCATGGGTGATCATAAGTTGAAGACTACCTGCACTATGTTAGCCTCATTGTCCATAATTACCTTTGGGTCCTTTGAACAGTTTAATTTCCACCACAGTCTCCAGAATAGGCCTCCTCCGACGGACATAGAGACGTACGATGGAGCCAGCTTCCTTCAGCGCCTCAACAGCTTTGCTATGTGAAACTTCGGATACGTCGGCCTCATTCACTCGCAAAATGCAATCATTGACTCTGGGGAAATAAAACCCAACAAGAACAGGAGACCATTATAAGGACATTGTAATTTCAACACGACAAAGTGAATCGTCAGCTGTGCAGTCAATACTGTGGGATTCTTTGAGTATTTTCAAAGAAAAGAACTACCATGTTTTCCCCAAAATAAGACTGGGTCTTATATTATTTTTTGCTCCAAAAGACACATTGGGGCTTATTTTGGGGGAAATACGGTACTAAAATGCACCTGTCTGTCTGACAATATTAAGTGGGGCTTATTTTGGAGGTAGAGCTTATGTTACGAGCATCCTGGAAAACCATGCTAGGGCTTATTTTCTGGTTGGGTCTTATTTTGGGGGAAACATGATATGTAGCAGAAGATATTTATTTACCGTGTTTCTCATATAATAAGGCTGGGTCTTATTTTATTTTTTAAGCCCCGAAGAAATGGCTAGGTCATCTTTTCGGGGATGACTTAATTCTCCCCCCCACTTGCATTTTCAGGCGGGCGGGCGGCAACAAGTTGGATGTTGACCTCAGCGTTGGTGGGGTACTTCGTATCGGGCTCAACGCAGACAGCACCATATCCGGGTGTGCAACAAAAGTACTTCCTAATGGCAAGCCCCCCCACTATTCCCCCCATTTTGCATGTTTTAATATAGGCCTTAGTTTTGGGGGAGGGTCTTAATTTCATTTCAGGCCTATAAAACATGCTGGGACTTCCTATTGGGGGAGGCCGTATTGTTGGAGAAACAGGGTATTTAGGAGTTTTATATTGCCACCTATTTGCACATGGCGACTCAAGGCGGCTTACAGAAATATACAAAACATCATATAAAAATAATAAAATTAATAAAACAAGCATATATAATAAAATAATAAAATAAAATAACCCTCCCAAACCCCCGCCCCAGCGACAACTCATCATACGAGCCATTTAACGGGCTCCATCCCGCTCTGCATTCCCCAGGAGGGCTGGGAGAACCAGGTCTTCAGCACCTCCTGGAAGAATGTCAGAGTAGGGGCCATTGTAATTTATGGGAGATTGATGTTCCAGAGAGAGGGAGCCACCATGGAGAAGGCCCTTCTTCTGGGTCTCATCAGGTGTACCTCCCTAGGGCAGGGGTTCCCAACCTGGGGTGCTCGTACCCCCTGGGGGTGTGAGATGATATTCCAGCGGGTGCGAGAAAAGTCCAGGTAAATAATAGGATATTGGCTATATGTTGGCATTTTTATTTATTATAGCAATGGATTAACTTTGTTTTCATTTTAGAGTTAAGCATCGTTATTTAGTGGCCGTCACATACATAGCTGAAAAGATTCAATCCTACCATATATTTAACGCGTTCAGTAGTTCCTAAAGTCTAAATTTCAGGGGGTGCGAGGTTCGAGTGAAATTTCTTTAGGGGCGCGGGGTGAAAAAAAATGTTGGGAACCACTGCCCTAGGGGATGGGACCCTCATTTCTCTGCCTGCCCGCTCTGGTGGGTTGGGTGGATATGATTGGCAAGAGACGGTGTTGTGGTCCGCTGGCAGCAGGTGTGGATGGCTGAGGTCTCGGAGAGTGAAGACTCGGATGAAGGGCCTGTGTGTGATGCAGGGATGCGGCCAGGATCATCATGGAGCGGAATGCTGCCTTTGGAGATGGTGGAGGCTGGCAGCAGTGATGAGGAGGTCTCCGAGGAGCCTGTGCCCAGTGCATGTGCGTGCAGGGCTGCTCAAAGAGCAGCTGCAGCAGCACGGGCGACTTGGGAGTAAGGCTGAAAGGTAATGGCCCCTCCCTGAGGAGATAAAAGCCAGCTGAGAAACCGCAGTTCTTTGCAGAAGGCAAATAAGTTTTACACTCGAGTCTGGTGGACGTTAGGAATATCTGAGTTGGTGTTTGAAGACATTTTGTGTTGGAATTATTGCTTAGTAACTTTATCTGGTGTTCTTGGCAGCCTTGCAAAACCTTGGCAAGGCTCTTTCTTATCGGAGCTCATTGGTTTGAAGCAGCCTTTTACCCGTGAAGGAACGGGATTCGTAAAGAAACATTAAAAGGCTGTGCTGTTACCTTTGTCTTGTGTTTGCTTCCTCGGAACCAGGTTTGGGTCAGAACAGACGGTCCCTCAGATAACCTGGTCCCAAGCCATGAAGGGCTTTAAAGGGGACAACCAGCACCTTGAATTGCACCTGGAAGCGAATCGGCAACCAAGGCAGCTCCCGCAGGAGAGGTGATACATGTGCACACACCAAGGTCGGCACAAAACCATGTGGGCCGCTGCATTTTGCACCTACTGGAGCTTCCGGATGCTCTTCAAGGGCAGCCCCATGTAGATATAGGCCCATGTCAAGCACTTGTATCACTGATGTAGAAAGATATGGAATACAGGCAGTTTTCAGCTTACAACCACATGTTTAGCGATCGTACAAAGTCACAGTGGCACTGAAAAATGTGACTTATGGCTGTTTTTTTATAGTTATGATTCTTTGCAACATCCCCATGATCAATGTGATCAAAATTCGGACGCTTGGCAACCTGTTCCTATTTATGACCGTTGCTGTGTCCCAAGGTCATGGTGGTCCCCTTTTTGTGACCTTCTGACAAGCAAAGTCAATGGGGAAGCCAGATTCACTTAACAGCCGGGGTTACTAACTTATCAATCGCAGTGATTCACTTAACAACGGGGACAAGAAAGGTGGTAAAATGGGGCAAAATTCACTTAACAAATGTCTCATTTAAGAACAGAAACGTTGGGCAGTTGAGCACTACCTGTATCATCATCATCTCTTTTTAATGACCCCCATAATCCCTTGTGGGGTGGGGTCTGGGCAGCTGAATGGAGCTGAGTGTTTATTGGCCGGATGCCCTTCCTGTCGCCAATGTGGAGTGTTATTTCAGCAGATATATTTTCATCATGCCCAGAGAAAGAAAACATCTGCCTCTACCTAGGATCAAACTCACAACCTCCTGATTGTGAGGTGAGAGCTCCACCTCTAGGCCACCGCACCACTCCAAGGATCACCTGTATGGCAGCTAGAAATGCCAGTCCGGTGGCATCTGTTTAAAAACCTGATTGTCCCATGGGATTGCTTTATTTACTATGTACTGTACATATTAAATCGGCTGCTAAATAGTATAGTTATCTGGGTGATTCACGAACATAAAATGAGACAACACACTTTTGTTTTAAGTTATGCCACAAGACAGCAAACTTACAGAATGAAAATTCCCTGCAGGACAGGAAACGCAATAATTAAAAGCCAGGCACATGCTATTTTTATACCTAGTTAAATATAAGCTATAGCTCAACATAAGGTGAAATAAACACTGTTCAGTATTCATAACAATTTGCTCGGAAATTCTCAAACCGGAGCAGTTACAAAATACCGTGCAATCTGTGTGCTGTATGAAAAAAATAAATTAAACTGCTTTCCACCAAATAAACGATGCGTGATTAGAAATGTATCTCGGCAGACTTTATTGAGATGGAGGGAACAACACCATGAGCTCCGACAAAATTTTATTTCCCTTTTCAGAGAGGAATAAGTTTTGCTAATCGCACATGCCACGCGCACACTATCTGAAGACATATTTGAACTGACAAAAGACAAAAAAATCCAGTTTTGCTCAGTGATTCTCTTTTAAGCTAAGCGCTAAAGCCAACGATACAGGTGTAGCAAGCTTGCTGAAGGTGTGGTTCCTCTTTGATTTTATCTCAATCTCTTTCTCTTTCCTCTCCTCTCTCTTCTCTCTCACCTCCCCCCCTCTCCTCTATCTCATCTGCTCTCTTTCTCTCTCTCTCTCTCTGTGTCTATCTGTCTCTCTCTCTCATCTCTCCTTTATCTCATCTCTCTCTCTCTCTCTCTCTCTCTTTCTGTCCCTCTCTCTCTCACTCTCATATACACACATTTCTCCTTGCTCATCTTTCTCTCTCTCATCTCTCCTTTATCTCATCTATATCTGTCTCTCTTTCT